CATGATGGTTGAAAGCTTTTTCGCCTTGCCCAATTGCACCAAAGCACATCTGTGCTTAAATCATCTATTAACAAAAAAAATATAATGGAAATCCAAGAAATATTTAAAATATATGGGATATGCAAGTAACATAAAAAAAAAATAATGGAAATGCAATTAACCTTACAAATATATTGGAAATGCAACAAATATTATTTATGCAAGAAATATTATCAAAATATTGAAAATGCAAGACATATTAACAAAATATTTAAAATGCAAGAAATATTAACAAAATATTGAAAATGCAAGAAACATTAAAAAAATATATATATTATTGAAAAAAAGAAAGAATGGACAAGAGGTCAAAAGTCAAAAGAGATATCAAGAGACACACATATGAAAAGCACATAATTTAGAATATACTATTGCCACAATAACATACATCTGAGGAAGGACAGTTCACAAATATTCATGACAGCATTTACCTGGTCTTTGCCAAATCTTCCTCCAGACATTTCACTTGTTCTACAGCCTGGTCTTGGGCCTTTCTGGTAGCTTCCTACATTAATTCCTAAATTGTATCATATTTTATAGTAGTACAAATTAACAAGTAACAAAAATACCAAACATGCCAATTCCTTAGATAATTTCCAAAGTTCACCATACCTGGGAACTTTCAAGGAGAAGCTTAACGTCGGCTCTTCTTTCTTCTACCAAAAAGAAAAATAATAATAATTAGATTGTAGAACAGAGATGCAAAAAAGTAGTAACGAAGCAAAAAGAAGAGGTCAAGAAACCTTAACATGTTTTCTTAAATAAACTAAATCTAAAGTAAGACGGCTCTCATACCAAATAAATGCTCAAAAAACTGAAAATGATTTTCTAAAGAATTAGTTGTTTTAAAGGATAAACTTAATAAAACGAAAATTACAAAATACTTACCTCATTACTAAGATTTTCACCGCTTCTATGGTTGTCCATCGTTTTTGCCAAGGCATCTCTCCATTTTGCCAACTCTTTATTGAGAATTTTCCACCTACTAGACAATATCATTTCTGTACGAGTCGATCCCGGAATTCTTTCAATAAATTCGGCATGAATTGTTTTTCCACGTATGACAAAATTTCATCTCATTGCCTGACACGGGACAATGACTAACTTGGAGCCAAGACTCAGACAAGAAAACATCTTCCATGGTGCTCCACGCCCCTCCGCTTTCGATAGAAGAAGCCATAAAGAAAAGAAATAAAAATAGAACTTGAACGATAATAAAATGTTGAGTAAAGAGTGAATAATAGTATAAGTAGAAGAAAATGTATGAGGATTGGTGTTGAAAGTGAAGGGTATTGATAGGTATTTATAGAAGAAAAAAAATTCAGAAATTTGTGGTATTTTTTTAAAAAAATTTCAAATTTTTTTCATAATTTTGTTGCTAAAAAAAGGCTAGCCATTGGATTGGAGGAGGAGAAACAGATCGGAACGTCCAGGCGAAGACACGTGGCTTCTAGCCGTTGGAAATGCACAGGGCTGACGTCAGCGCACGTCAATTCAAATTTTTTTTACTGTTGGTGCGTGTAAGGCACCCGCCAACGGTAAAAAAAATTTACACCGCTCGATGACGTCATCACTCCCCTCGGGCGAGTTCTGCCTTTTGGCCAGCCCGGGTACGTGGGACCCACTGCCAGCCCGGGCAACAAAGGCCCGCTGGAAATAGGTTTTTGGCGCTGCCCCCCCCCCCCCAACCTCGGGCTTGGGCTCTCCCCTGGAATAGCTCTAAGTGAAGCAAATAGGTCACTGAGAGAAATACAATCTTTTGAGTTTATTATCACCTATTTTTTATGAGATCTTTATTGGGAGCCACAAATGATTTGTCACAAGCCTTACAAAGGAAAGACCAAGATATGCAATGTCTTTAGGCGAAGATTGCAAGGAAGCACTACAAAATATGAGAGATAATGGATTTGAAACCTTGCTTGATCAAGTATCTTCCTTTTGTGGCAAACATGATATTGAGGTTCCAAACATGGATGATGCATATGTAGCTAAATGGAGATCACATCGCAGAGCGACTAGAATAACAAGAATCCATCATTATCCTGTGGACATCTTTATTCAAATCATTGAGTGGCAACTTGCGGAGTTAAATCATCGCTTTAGTGAGGTAAATACTGAGTTGCTTCTTTGTTTGGCATGTTTGAGTCCGAATGATTCATTCATAGCTTTTGACAAACAGAAGCTTCTTCGTTTTGCTGAATTTTATCATCAAGAATTTATTCTGAGACCTCTTGGCACTTAAACATCAACGGGATTTATATTCATCTTATGCGTACGAGAAATTATTTTTCTCAATTAAAAGGGATCGGTGGCCTTGCAAGAAAAATGGTGGAGAAAAGGTTGCATAGAACATTGAATTATGTCTATTTGCTTCTGACATTAGCCTTAACTTTACCGGTTGCAACTGCTTCGGTGGAGAGAGCATTTTTTGCTATGAGTATTGTGAAAAGTCCACTTTGAAACCGAATAAGAGATCAATGGTTAAGTGATATCTTACTTGTTTATATTGAGAAAGATGTGTTTGTTTGTATTGATAATGAAACTATAATGGGACGTTTTCAGAATATGAAAACTCGTTGTGGACAATTGTAATGTGGTTTTTTCTATTAATTACGAATTCTAAATTATTGTTTCATTTTGTTATAAAAATTATAGTTTTCCTCTTTCTGTAAAGCCAAATACAAAAAACCTTATATTATAAATAACATATAAACAAATTGGAAAGTTATTAAGATACAATGAAACTGAAAAATAAAAAAATAAAATTAATAGGTAAGTAAAAGCAAAATAAATTATAAGTAAGAAGGTGAGCTTAGTACTGTTCACCCGTTTTGTGATCACTCCTATGGTGGAAGGGCAAAGTTCCCTACTGCCTTGAAAACCATTGACTGGTCAGCAAGTCAGCTTTCTTTGGTGTATGAGCGTGCCACTGCTAGCAATGAAGATTCTAGCAGACTTATTCTAGAATAGATAACTTGCGCCCCAAGTTACTGATTTCCATAAACAAGCGATTGTGAATTTGGGTGAGGAATATCTCCCAAATAAGTTCTTTTCTTGCCTCAGACTGGTGAGGACTTTAACAATTTATCTCAGTATAAAGAGGTTGTTCTGGCCAGAATGGTTGATGGAATTTAAGCCGTCTTAGGCAGAACTGCCTTTTACAAAACTATAAACATAAATATCCAAGCTAGAAAGATGAAATGACAGCTGGAACTCCATTTCTGCCTGGATAGGAGGTTCTGATCCAGGCTGGACTGGACTGTTAACAACTTCAGCTGCTAAGCTTCAGCTGTAGATTGATACCAAAGTTTAATTTTGGCAGAGTTTTAATACTCTTCAAGCTTTTGTGAGGCTTGAGGCTGCTGAGTGGGCAGAACTGCGGCTTCTTTAGTCTGTAAGGGCAGAAGTGGCTGTTCTCGAGGACTTCAGTGGGCTAGAGACTGCACTGTAAAATTTGTTAAGGTTTTCATGTTTGGGAAAAGCTCAAGCTCTACCTGTCTTGGTTTTTTATTGAACCAAATTTGTAACGAGAGAAATTTCGTTTTGAATGACTTATTTTCTAAGTCTGAACCTTGGAAATTCTGATCTAAAGCTGGTTTTCACTTGGAATTCAAGTGAGCTTCTAGTTGATTTTGAGCTGTTTGTTTGATTGATGACTTGAGTGTAGGATCGATTTTGTCGTTGCTTGTTCACTCCTTTCTTGTATTTATAAGAGATGTTATCTGGAGTAGGGTAATTCTTTTAAATAATGGGCGGCAATTTTCTTTAAAAAGATATTTCATTTTTTATTGTAAAGAAAGGGGGTTTTGATCAATTTCTGGTAGATAAGCTCTCAATAGTCAGTTCTTAAGATCACTTCCCTGTTTTTCTTGAAAAATAACCTAACCCCTCTTTAATTCCAACTGCCCCCCTGTGAGAACCGTGATGTTTAGTCTAATTCTCAGTTTTGAACAGGTCCCTGTTTTCCTATTTATCTTTCTCTGAGATTGTGTTTGCTTATCTCTTTCAGAAAATCACCTTCTGAATAGAAGAAATATCTCTAAATATATTCATATGTAAGGGGATTTGATCTTTCAGAATTTCAGAGATGTCCCTTCCCAGTTTTGCCAGCTACTGACCCTCTCTAATCATCTCTGCAATGGCTGGTTTTGTTGACTTTTCCAAATATGATAAAAGGGTGTCACGTGGTTTTCTGAAAAGAAATAGGTCTTTTCTTTTATCAAAATCGTGCTGGGTTTATTTTTGTCTGGAGCCCGAAGGTGACTTTTCTTTTGAGGCCCAAGTTTTGCTTGCACTCTGCTAGCTGCTTTTGAAGCTCTGCAATCTGCAATCTCCAAGACTAAGGCCACCTTCCTTGTGCAGAGCATGGTTGCAGCTTCTAGGCCAGCCCTGGAGATTGCAGAGGCTTCAATTCATCAGGGGGTGCTGCTTTCAAAAGGACTTTCCATTAAGAAAACTAACTTGCAAGAAACCCTCAAGAAATTAGGGTTTTGATTTTGTTATTTATTTATCCTTTCAGTTTTTTTGCTTTATGATGAACAAATTGCCATGGGGAAGGCCCCATGGTTATCTATTTTAAATAAAGTTTATTTTTCTTGCTGCAATTTTCGGGTTTTAAATTTTCTTTTGATGAAATAAACAGAAGTAAAAAGTACAAAAGGAGCAAACTTTAAACAACTTTAGAACAAAGATAACTCTAAACGTAATTAAAAGGTTTTTTTTTTAGTGTTGTCCATTCTCTATCCCAGGATCTGTTTGTCCAGCCTGTGAATCCCACATGGTTGGATAAAACTTCTTTAACCATTTGCCATTGATTGGGGCAGCATGAATTTCTCTATCTCTATCCTGCAACCTGTATGCCCCCATTCCATGGATCTGATTGATTTTGAAAGTGTCTTCCCATGTAGGTGACCATTTTCCATAACCAGCCACATGTGTTCCAAGGGGCAGAACTGCTTTCCGGACTATCTCTCATTCTTCAAAACTCTTGTTCTTGACTCTTTTGTTATAGGCCCTTGACACAGCTTGCTTTCCTGCCAGGAGTTTATTCTGCTTGCATCCAATCCTTCCAGTTCTAGCAGCATGGCTTGAGAGTAGTTTTCTCCTACCAGATTATGTTGGTGAGCAATTCTGAGGGACTGAACAGCTATTTCCATAGGCAGAATTGCATCATGACCATAGGTTAATGCATAAGGGGTCATGCCAGTTGCTTCTCTTTTAGAAGTTCTATATGCCCACAGAGTTTCTGATAACTTCTCATGCCATTGCTTTGGATTCTTCTCAAGCATTTTTCGAATAATGTTGACGATTACCTTGTTGCTTGATTCTGCCTGCCCGTTAGCTTGAGCATAATAAGGAGTGGATTGAAGCAGCCTGAATTTGAATGCCTTTGCCATATCCAGCATTTCTCCAGATACGAAAAAAGATCCTCTGTCAGTTGTGATTGATTCTGGGATGCCAAATCTCTTTATAGTCTATTCTTCTATGAAAGTGATAATCTCTTGAGATGTAGTGGATTTAACAGGCTTGGCTTCTACCCACTTAGTGCAATAGTCTGTGGCAACAATGATAAAACAGTGCTGCTGGCTGGATAGATCTTGCCAATGAGGTCCATTGCCCATCCTCTAAAAGGCCATGGCTTTACCACTGGATTCATGGGAACTGAAGGAGCCTGCTGGATTGGGCCGTGTCTTTGACAAGACTCACACTCCTTGGAATAGTCAATGCAATCTTTCATCATGGTTGGCCAGAAGTGGCCATACCTTCTAATTAACCAGCACATTTTCCTCCTACCTTGATGAGCTCCACAGATTCCTTCATGAGTTTCCTCCATGACTTTCATGTATTCTTTCTTTCCGAGGCACCTTAAAAGTACCTCATCCTTACTCTTTCGGACCAAATCTTCATTCCACATAAGGTAGTTCAAAGCCATGATTCTGACTTTCTTCTCAGAGGGCAGGGTTGGATATCGTAAGTAAGTCATGATAGGATTTCTCCAGTCATCTTCAGTGATTACGGTAGAATTGACATCTATTTCCATCCCCCTGGTTAGAATAGATGGTAGGCTTTTCTTCCTTATCTTGATGATTCTTTGTACACAATCTTCAGGCATTTGTATGCCTGTTGCTACCTGGGCCAATTCATTGGTTGCAAAGTTTTCTTCCCTTGGGATATGCTCCCAAGTAGCTTCTCTGAATTCTGTCAGAAGATTCCTAGCTGCCACCAAGTAGACGGCTAGAGAAGGACTTAGGCACTTGTATTCCCCAGCAATTTGTTTCAAAACAAGCATGGAATCTCCCAAAATTTCCACAGATTGGATTCCTAGTTCTA